AGGGACCTCGCCGACAAGTTGAAGGTTAAATCATTCTTATTTAGCAAATCCAAGGGCCCAAACCTTTGCATTTGCAGAAGCATGCACAGCACAGATCCTTTTCAGCCCCCTGTTTGGTTTCCTTGAATTTGCAGACAGGTATTGGCTCTTCTTGTGCAGGGCTGGCTGCATGTCTGCTTGCCCCAGGGAAGATATTGCATTGCAGGGAAGCGTTCAGGTATCTCCATCTTTGAGTACGCAGGTGGACCTCTGGGCTTACACTAGGTGCAGAATAGAGACAGTCTCTTGGGAAAGCTCTGCAGAAATAATGCTTTTCAGATTTTGAGTTTTTGTCCTTCCTAAGATCATTGTCTGATGTGCTTCACAGTTCTGTAGAGTCATCTGAAATAAGATCATATATGCAAAACTGTATGCCTTTAAAAATAGATCTATAAAAAAAACCCTAGATAAATCTCTAAATATAAAGGGCATCATATTTTTTCAGTAAGCAAACTAGCTGTCTTCACATGTGAATTTCCTTCATTTTTCAGAGATGACTAGTCTTAAGAAACTAATTTCTTAGTAGCAAGCAAGCCTTTAACAATCTTGAGTAAACTTTATATGGCACTTAATTTACTCTAACAGCACATAATGAAAACAAAGTGTTGACTAGAATGCACTTTTCCAAATTAATTCCTGTCTTCTGACAACACATACTTTCCTTGACATAGATAAGTTTCCGAGCACTATTCAAATTGCTCCCTGCTGGTTGTGCAAATTGTACCCACAGTATTATTTTAATGTTTCATGGCAGCTGAGTGACTACTTGACACCCTACTTTTAAATTACAGCCTAATTCAGATCTCACTGGCTCCTAATAACTCTAATTTTGGATGGCACTTCTGAAGAGCACGTGTTCCTTTGTCAATGTCACACAGCAGTGGTGAGCCAAGGTATTTGAGTTAACTTCTCTCGACCAGCCATGGGGAACACGGTGGAGTTCTTCTAACAGAACCTAATTTTGGTAACTGGACATCGTGGTTTTGGCTGGGATAGAGCTAATTTTCATCTTAGTAGCTAGAATAGCACTGTGTTTTGGATTCAGTATGGGATTTGGTATGACAAGAATGTTGATAATATACTGATGTTTTCAGTTGTTGCTAGGAAATCAAGGACTTTTCAACTTCCCATGCTTTGCTAGTGTGCCAGGTGCACCAGAAGCTGGGAAGGAGCATAGCCAGAGCAATGGACCCAAACTGGCCAATGAGATATTCCATATCATGCAACATCATGCTCAGTATATAAATGAGGGCTGGCCAGGAAGCGCTCTCCCTCTCTTCAGGGATTGCAGTTTCGTGATTTTCTCTCCTCCAGGATTGCTAGCCAAACATGAGCTGGGCATTGGTCAGCAGGTGTTGAGTAATTGCACAGTGTATCATGCGTTTGTATATTCCATTATTATTAACATTATAATTATTATTTTTAATTTTCGTTTATTTCCATTATTAAACTGTTTTAATCTCAACCCACAAGTCTCTTTACCTTTACCCATCCCCCATACAGGGGAGGGTGAGTGAGCGGCTGTGTGGTGTTCGGCTGCTGTCTGCGTTAAAACCATGACACTGAGAGAAGTGACTCAAGAGGCCGATGATTTTCCATGGGTGGATAGAAGTCTGGCAGCGGACAGTACAGAACCAGGTTGATAAGGTGCTGTTTGAGCTACTGGGATTATTTATATGGACTCCCCCCCTGCCCCAAACTCTTGGATGGACCCATAAGTTAGTAGCCGTGCCTGTCTAGCTAACTAGTGTGTGATCGTGTGACCACATCCCTTCAAGCAGATTATTTCCACTAATAGTGTAATTAAAATGCCTCCTAAGACACTGTTCTCAGTGCCGATATTGGAAATATGCATTGAATGCTCAACCAAAATCATCTGTTAAGGTGCAATTAGCTGTGAGCAGAGCACTGAAACCTGGGATATTTTTGTTCAAGAGGTCAATTAGTGTGACTGGGAGGCAAAGGAAGCAGCCAGCTGAAGGATGGTCAGAGGGAGCAATCAAGTGAATTGAGCAGTCAGCTGATTAGGAAACAACTAGTGAGAGCAAGATGAAATTTCACCCTGGAACTGATGAATGTAGACCTGTCTGAAGTGTTCAGTCAAACTGAATACTCAATCAGCATTTGATTAAAATGAGCTGCCCCCTAGGTGAAGACATATCCATAGGATTTAAATATATATAGGATAGTCTTATGTATGATGCTCCCAAGAGCTGTCCTTTATATAATAAAGTGTTCACAAAATTAGTAAATAATAACTCAAAAATCCTAAATAAAGGGGAGATAACTGTATATTCAAGCAAAACATTTTTGTAACAAACAGATTACTCCTTTACCTTGTAACTTATCTGTCCTTAGATTACATTTGTGTTTCAGATCAAAATATCAGAAATTTTCCTATTGTCTAGTAATAAGTCTTAGAGTTAAACTAGGCTTTGAGGTTAATTAAAGTTCACTAGAAGTGAACTTCTTAATATCAAACTTATGCCTTTGTAATTAACATTTAGGAGGTAGGGTTAATTATTATTGTCCCCTTTGTTAGTTTGCAGTGTAGAGGGAAGAAATCAAAACTTTTAAGAGTACCTTTTATTAATGGGGAAGCTATGCTCAGCCATGAATATTGCTGTGGAGCCCCCAGTCCAGGTCTGGAGGAGGAAGGGAAAGATAGGTGGGCTTAAGGATTTCTTCACTCCCCAGCCCTGCCATCTGCAACACACCTGCCCAATAGCTTGGGGACAGTCCTTGCAGGGTGGTGGCACTGGGGTGATGCAGCAGCCAAAGGTCACTTTCTTCTCTGTGTAGGAGCGGTTGGCCTGGTGTCTTCACCAGCTTCCTGGCTGTCATGTGTGAGTGGTGTGGGTCAGGGAGGCTGTGGCTTTGCCCACCCTTCAGCTAGGCAGCAGTGTAGGCTGAAGTGGAAGTCGCTGAGCAGGACCAGTCTGGTATCATCTCTCTCTTCTGGCATTCAGATGCAGCCAGGTGACAGGGACAGCAGTTTGCCCGAGGATGGGAGTCTTCTCCGGTGACTCAAGGCTTGGTGGCAGGAGCCACCCATGTTTCCAGCTCTGACACTGCTGCCACAAAATGTGCAGCAGCCACACAGATGGAGTAGGGCGCACTCTTTTAAACAAATTCCTTCACTTCCTCCATACAGCATTTTTAACCCCAAACGGAAACGTGTCTCGCTGGTCAAGCAAATGAGTAAGCATGTGCAAGGAGAAGTCTGGCAGGCAGTGGAGCAGGCCCGCTGGAAACTCCTTCTGCAGCAGAGATGGCTGTCAACGGGGCTTAGTTGTCTGAACGTGAGCGGTGAGCCAGATTTGGCCCTAAACTGTTCCTCCTACAGGGAGAGGAGTTTGGCCCGGTGGCGGCAGTGTTTCTGCTGGGCCTTTGCAGACATGCTGTCATTATTCTGCAGGAGGAGCATCAGGAAAACCTCTAGGGAAGGAAAAGCCAGAGGCATGCTCAGGTTTGGCTCTTCTAAAGGCTACCCCAGTTAACTTTGTTTGGTTTATCTCTGTGACTCAGAAACATATGAACAATAGTTTAGATTATTTTTTTTTAAATGAGGTCATAAATGGCATTGTGCCAATCAGAGCAAAGGCAACGTTTGCTTTACATTAGCTAGCTAGTTCATTTTTCTTTGAAGTGGAAATCATGACTCTCTACATTTATTTCTTGTCCTTGTTTATATGTGAAGAAGTATTTGTTTAGCATTTGGGATATGCCTTTTAACCCAAACTAGTTCTGTTTAGAAATGTATTGTGTCACTATTGGATTTTATGTTGCAAAATTCCCTTTATTAGTTCCTTAGCCCTGACCAAAGTTATATCATTTTAGCATTGCGATGGTTGCTCTTTTTTCAAAATATATATATTGCAAAGCTCATGCTCCCAAATTCAGTGTAGTGTAGCAATCACAAGTTCACTTCTCACATGTGCTGATTTGGCAGCGATCAAACCACATAGATGTCAGTAGACCTACTCATTTATTCTGGAGAAGGATGAGATCTCCAGGGGCTATAAAAACAAGTCTGATTTAAGATTTGTTTTCCAGAAATGTTTCAACTGCTATGTACTGTGTATACATAATTAATATGGAGTTTCTTAATCTTTAAAACCATGGTTTATGTTACTGATCGCACAAATCATCTGGGATGCCACTGTGATAAAATTCTGGAAGGTAAATGAAAAACGATGACACTGGAAGTGTGATGCTCAGCAATGGGCACTGACCTGTCCTACTCGAGCTAAGAAACAGCTCAATTCACTTTCAGATTATGAGAATATTGCCTTCTGTACAGAGAGTAAAGAAGGTCAAACCACTCAGCAAGCAAATTGTTCCTGCAGGTCAAATGATACTCTGTGATAATGGTTGTTGTGGCTTCCAGAGTCCTGTCTGTCACAAAGCTCCATGGTGTATTTTTGAATTGACACCCATTGCCCACTGTCCCAGGTGACCCAGAGATTTACTGGCCCTGCCTGGGGAGAGGTAGACGTCTTCCCAACTTGCAGTGTGTCAGGAGGGTTGTGTGCTGTGCTGAGACTGCCTTGTGCTGCTCTCCCTGCTCAGTAATGCAGAGTGGTAATTTCCCTGGAGCCTAAGCAACTTCTTTTCCCAGTGCAATTGAGGGTGCCTGGATTTATTTTGTTACCTACTAAAGGCAGTGGGATTAACCTTCTTCAGAAGTGGTCAATGCATAGCTTGTTGAGAAATGACTATACATTTCTGTAACACTTTTTATCTGGTTGTTCGGTGCAGCACACAGTACGTGTTTGGGTGTGCATTTGATACAGTCTACCAGACTCACACTGTGCTGTGGGGAGCATCTTCTGTCAGAGTGGCATAACTGTTGTGTGTGCAGAGACGTCAGTTCTCTCAACTTTTTCTTGGCTAGCTGGTGTGACAATCATAAGCTTCAAAACTATTTTCCCTCTGATTTCATATGTTTGTTTTCTTAGGAGGCACAAGATCTTCTTGCCAAGGAGGAAGCACTGAAGGAGGTTCAGGGGAATTACATCTTCCTGGAAAGTGAAATCAAGTCACCCAGAAATGTGCCTGGAGGAGGAAACAGGTAGGAGAGTTAACTGAAAACATCAATCACTGTTTACCTTATTTCCTGTTTTGCTGTACATCTCTTAAAACTATATTTGAATAGTCACATCCCAGATTTTTTGAGTTTTAGAGTAGACAAAGAAATGTCTGTGCCACCACCCCTCACAACTAATTAGTCCTTTACTTCAGGAAAAATAATATTGGGTTTGTAAAGGCCTCACTGAAAGAATATGACATAGCATTTCTTTGTTGTACTGTTCAAAAAGCCCCTGAAAATCAAGAAGTGTTAGACACAATTTTGCCTCCTGAGTTCCTACCAGATCTTCCTTTCTGGAGAGCCCTGTTATTACCCTGTCTAACCTCCCAGAGCAGAGCATTGTGTTCATATGTTGTTGACTCCTTTGTCCGTGTTTATTTCTGAAGTACCCATGAGGCTATGTGGTAGCACTTCCATCAGGTCCCTGATTTCTCAGGCTTCCAACTTGCCCAAGTCCAGTGATTTTCATTCCAGTACTATGTGTACTCTCACTCTTACTCTTTGCCATGCTCTGTTTCCCTTCCCTGCTCAGTTAAACAGGCTCCGCTTTGTGGGACCTTTGTTAATACCTGCTCCCTTTGGGGGAAGTAGTTTTGTAAAGCCCAGAAAGGCCCCATCCAGGCCTCTTAGATTCTTCCTTGTATTCTTCCAAGCCAACTTCCAGTCCTCTGCATGCTGAATTACCAGAAATCCTTTGTTTGGGAGGCACCGAGACTCGCCCAAGGCAAAGAAGCCTATGTAGACTTGCCAACCCAACTTCACTCCATCTGTCTGAGCTACTCCTGACTGAACTCAAAGAGCCCTTTACCTGTATGTGTACACACATAAAATAAAATAGATAATATAAAGTAGCATAGCATAGCATAACATAATCAACATCTTATAAATATAATTTATGTTTTATATAAAGCAACCCATATAGCTTATGCTTTTCTGTCTGCTGGAGCCGTTTGCTAGTTGATAAACTAAAGAACTCCCCAGACATTTTAATCAATAGAGGCTGATCTTTTGCCTTTCTGAATGGCAACTGCAGGGATTTATGTGGAAAAAAATTTTAGTGGTTTTGGTTGTGATGTGTCATCCCCAGTACTACTGCTGTCGTTAGCTGTCTCCTCTAACACTGGGAGACTTTGGTCCACTCTTCTGTTTAATCACAACATGTAGTGCAGATGTTGAGCATTGTACTCTAAGCAATGGCAAGGTGGGGTGGATGTTTTAACATCCTCTTGTTCTATCCAGTGTGAAGAGCGCGACAAATTTATCTGTCTTTTAGATTTCTTAATATAGTTTAATACACAATGATTGTGGATGACATTCATTGCACAACTAGGGTTTCTGATGGGTATTAGAATCAAGTTGCCAGTCTCTGTGCCAGTTTTCTGTGAGCTAGCACTTAGAAGAACCTTCCTCTGGGCTCAGCTGTGCTCTCACTGACACCTGTATAAACCCCCAAGTAATTTCACTGAAGTTATTGAAATTGCTCTGGACTTGTACCACCGTGGCTGGAAGCAGGGTGTAATTAAATTAATTTTTAAATTCTTGAATGTACAGCAAACACTCAGCCCTACCCACCCATGCAGACAGAGAGGCATAGGTACATACATGCAGGTGGAGTTCATAAAATAAACGGCCTGACCAAGTGTATCCGCCTAGATGAAAGCCAGATGCTTGGGAAGGAAACTCGTTTCCTGACAATGTGGCCTAAAAGCCGCCAGCTGGTATACGGTCAGCCTCAGCTGTGTTGCCATGACCAAAAATGGTGTTCTTGGGAATATTTACGAGGACAAATACACACACATTTTTCTTCCTTTGAGGCTTTCAACAGATGCTTCTAAGCTTTGAGTTTTCTGATTTAAAAAAGTCCTACACATGTCAGTATCATATGAACTGTAGCACTTTTTCTGCTGTCCTGTTTCGTAGTGTAGGTCCAGGGAAGTCCTGAGGGTGCTGCTTGCCGTATGTGTGCAGGATGTGCCTCTGCATTTACAGACACGTTGTCTTTAATCACATATGTTCCTTTGAAAAGAGCATGTTAACTTACTTGTTTCTGATAGGTGAATGCCTTCATGTTTTCAGTGGCCGCCTAGGGCTCATGGAGTTGCAATGGTGTAGCCCGTCAAAGAGGCAATGCAAATGACTGATGTCTTGAGTGGAACAGAGAAATTATGGTTCAGAGAACAGTAACTCTTGCTTGGGCAGTATACTCTCCTCACAAGTCATGCAGCTCACACCCTTTTTCGGCTATTGGAAGAGCCCCCACATCTGGTCCCATGAGGCAAGGCTGGATGAGGAATGACACCATGCTTCATCCCCTCCCTCCCTGAACCTCTCTTGCTGTCCTGACTCTACAGCAACAACTCTCAGTGCCACAGTAAGGGATGCTGCAAGGTCCCCTGAATGACATAGAACGAAACACGTTATTATTTAACTTCAAGACAAGGACAAAGACTTTATTCTGAAGGACTTAATATGGGGAACTCAGCAATTTCTGTAGGATTGTGGTGGAAGATGTTTGCAAACCCCATGGCCCTGTGGGCTAGCTGTGCTGGCAAATTATCAGGAGTCTCTCAAACAACTGTCATCCTTCTAAGGAAGCAGTCTACACAGTTGGCACCTAGAAGCACACCTAGGTTAAAAAAAACTGCAGAAAAATCCAAATCCCCCTGTCTGTGCTCCCAGCAGGATGGGTATAAGCCAACTCTGGTCCAAAACCTGCATAGCTGTGTTATGATAAATATTAGTTAGGACGTGGTGCTGTGCTGACTTGGCAAGGTGTCTTCCTGATGGGAACTGGCTTAGGTTCATCTGGCCCAGGGAGGAGGCACTACATGCTCATCTCTTGTCTGTTCCTGCCCATGGTGGCATGCAGAAGAGAATTAGAGTTGCAGATTTCAGCCAAAAGCCACTGCAACCTGGCATCTTAGGTAGCCTACAAGAACGCAAAGATCTCGTAATGGATATGAACCTGCTCAAATGGCAGGATGTGACAAATAGTCAACCCAGCATGCAGAAACATTAGATGATAGAAGCATATTGCTCAGAGCCGAAGATAGGTCTGTTGGCTGTATTGCAATGCAGTATTGCTCAGCTGGGACTGCATCCACTTTCGAATGACAAAGAGGTTGGGATATAATTTGCCGGGTTGACACTGGCTTGTCCTCATAAAAGATCCTGCTCTCATTTATTTAGTATACAAAGAGACCAGTGTATGCTTTGGTCTGATTTTAAAGATAGTTTTCTTGACAAATTACTAAAGGGTCATTTTTTCATACAGCACAGAGATGACATCCTCCGAGCTGCCTTCTGGACTATTGGTCACAGGCTCCGTCACTCCAAGTTCCACAGCATATGGGTCAACATATTCTTCAGACATGTCCTCTGTGGGTTTATCTCATCCTGCCTCTGTCACAGGGACCACAGATGCCCAGTCTGGCAAAATCTTCTGGCCTAACTCAGGCTTCACAAAGAAAAGCCATAGGTAAGCCTCTGGAGATTCTACTGCTTTCTATTTAGGACAGAAAACCACATTCCTTTATTTGCACACAGCATGAAAATATAACCCTATAGCTTGAGAGGCGGCTTTGGTTATATTTCAACTAATGGAATGGAGCAGCCCACATCCCATTTCACATTCCACTCTCTGGCTGGGACTGATCATGTCTCCAAACATGAGTGGCAGGTGAGGCCTCAGGTGGTAGAGAATATGCCTGTGTTCCATGCACTAAGTGTTATTTCCTTGTGTTTCACAATGTGTATACCCACAATAAGGACTCCATATATAAAAAGAACCTTTTATTTTTGTGACTTATATTTTAGGAGGCTTAGTTTTCACATGCAGAAAAATCTACAACTATACTCCAAGCAGTCCGTAGACACCTGGAGGTTTGTGTAAAGATGTGTGTACATGTTCTGGGAGCTGTGACTGGCCCAGAATAAGCTGCTGAACAGTGAGCATCCAACTCTTCCCTGTTGCAGGAGTTGTGATTGTTTCCAAATGACAGCCAGGGCTGAGAGTAACGGCTGAGAGCAACTCCGATGCCAGTAGAGGTTCTGCTCCCTCTGCCTCCCTCCCCCTATCGTTTTCTCCAGCATTTCGTTGTGAGACAGAGGGCAGTGACACCAGCAGTCTTGCAGCAGGGTGCTGCTGATGGGGCAAAGGCCCCGGCGTTGCACTTGGCCACCGTATCTTTTTGGCTCCCACAGAAAGATACGGAAAGTCCAAGAAGAATCTGGTGCTGAGTGGGGACTTGTGTAAGTGCTGCTCTGTGCAAGGGAGGCTCATGACAGAAAGGGGACAAATCTCTGTTACGTGCCTCTGCAGTGAAGCAGAGCATATTTGTCCCCACAGATTTTTAAATGCTCTTTAGTTACTTCAGCACAGACCAAAGAGATTACACCAATCATATTAGGCGGGTTGCTCAACATCCTGTGAAAAAGGGGATGCAGCACAGCTCTTCAAACACAGTTATGACTAGAGTTTCTAGTCAGTGGGCAATCCTGATATTTTGGCATTTGGTTTAGACCTACACAATGATAAAAATGGAAACACTGACATTTTGGGGGAAACAAAAATTTTTTTTTTCTTGTGGTACCTAGCTACTGGTCTGTGTGCATATGCACCCATTTTTCTAACCTCAATATTTGGAATACAGGGGCCAGTTTCTCCCTCCCAGGTTAGCATGGGGATACTGTTCTCAGGGATGAGGTCCTACAGGTTTTCTGAAAATTGATGGTCAGGCATTAGAATACTGTTAGTACTCCTATTGAAGAAAAGGTTGATGTGTCCTTCCGTCCTTCCCATTTATTAGCCATCAGAGAACCCACATGATGCAAGGGCAGGGGGATGGGGAAGCAGAGTGATGAGAAAAAGGCTTCATTAATTCAGCTGCTCAGGGGACAGCATGTTTGGAAAGGTCGAGATGTTTCATTTGACCTAAACAAAATGCTTGGACATTCTTCAGTTGAAATGTTTAATTCCTGCC